ATTCCATTCACTCCAAAATTGGTTTGCTCCGTGATCTGTCACTCAGAAGCTGTCCCTATCCACTGGCTGTGTTGCCTGAGTCTCACCTCCAATATTGTAAACAGTTTGCTGTTTCTCTTCCCCCAGTGGCCAGTCAGAACACAGAGGTCATTTGCATATGTGGCCTGATTGGCCTTTAGCATTCTAAACACTTTGGTTCTGGCTGTTGGGAGTCCCTGAATGTGCCCTGAGGTAAAATTCATATCCCAATCTTCCCTTAAATGGTCACTGGAGTCACCAATCTCCCTGTGGGGCCTGGAGATCTCCCAAAAATCACCGTGTTCTCGTCACAGAACATCATTTCCCCTACAGAAAATTTCCCAGCTATTACGATGGCTGCTTTGGGCAGTAGACTCCAACAAACCTTGCCCTCCCCAGGCTCTACCCCTCAGACCTACAGGTCCGGCCCTCCCCTTAGTGTTTCCAGCCTCCAGGCAGCCCCTGGAGATCTCCAAGATCAGTTCTTCTGGAGAGAATGGCTGCTTTGGGCAATGGACTCTTTGGCATTATACCCTGCTGAGGTCCCTCCGCACACCAAACCCTGCCCACCACAGGCTCTACCCCTCAAACCTACAAGTCTGGCCCTCCCCATAGTGTTGCCAGCCTCCAGGCAGCACCTGGAGATCTCCGAGATCAGTTCTTCTGGAGAGAATGGCTGCTTTGGGCAATGGACTTTATGTAATTATACCCTGCTGAGATCCCTCCACACCCCAAACCCTGCTCCCCCAGGCTCTACACCTCAAATCTATAGGTCTTTCCCAGCCCAGAGTTGGCAACCCTGTAACCGGCTATGGAACCGCTTTCCAGACCCTTGGAACCCAGAAGACATGGCATAGGAGGAGGTGCTTTTCTACCTTCACTGCCGCTGCATAATGCCAAATCAACATAAGTCAGGGGTGGAGGGAACCATACCTGTTACCATGAGGCTGTCCTCCCATACTTCCCACTTGGGCAGCAAAATGACTTGAGACAGCCCTGCCTTATAGCTAGGCAGAAGGAAATAAACATGGCTTGCCTCCCTCTATTTTCCCCTTTCCTCTGCCACCCCACCATGGGACACTCACCTGGAGCTTCCTTCTAGAGCTCGTTGTATTTCTTCCCACAACAAGCCTTACTCCTAGTAATCTGATAAAACACATTAAGCACAGCCAATTAAAATTCTCAAAAAGTGGGTCATGTGGAGCTATTAGAGACCGTAGTGACTGAGGAAGCTGAAGTCTCTGTTTAAACCAGAGCAACGTGTACAATAGTGTTTAATGTTCTGGGGTTGTGGGGGTGGTTTTTTTTTTTTTTTTGAGATTTCTAATTCAGCACTTTCTCGTTGTATATTCCTTTTGAAGGTTTTTTTGTTTTGTTTTTTTGTTAACAGTGACTTTCAGGTCTGTATGTTCAGGAAGATTAAAATGTTCCCCCACTGGAAAAATGTTGCCTCTCAGTCTCAGACAGTTCTGACCCTATCAGCATTTTACTTCATTTGCTACATTGTTGCCTATTTACTCAGTTCAGAGAGATCCTCCTGGAGCTCTCAACTATCTGCTTTAGTTTTTACCATCCTGAATAATTTAGTATCATTCACAAACTTGGCCAGTATGCTGCTCAGCCCAAATTCCAGATAATTTATGAATAGATTAAATAGCCCTGGTCTCAACGCTGATCCCCGTGGGACTCTACTACGTGTCAGGTCCTTCCGGCACCTCACTTCCCTCCATTCCTCTGTTTAGTCCATGAGTCCTAAGCTTTTTCGGGAGTCTTTGATGAGGTACCTTCTCAAAAACCTTTTGGAAGTCCAAATATAGGGATGGGCACAAACTGGGAAAATGTGGTTCATTTTGGTTCATTGTGTGCCCAGTTCGTGACCCACAAACTGTCACAAACTTTTAATAGCTGTTAACTGGTTTAGTTCTTGAGGTTTGTGATGTGATAGAACACCCCCCCCCGGCATGCTAGAGATACCAAACTCACAAGGGATCCCCAGCTGACTCTCCTCTACCTGCCCTTCAAGTTTGGTGAGGATTAGTTTTACGGCGTCTGAGTTACAGCCCCCCAAAAAGGAGCCCCATCCTCCATTTTTTTCTAATGGGGGGGGGAAAACAGCAAAAAAGCAAGGGCAATAGAAGCCCAGTAGAACAGAATCAAAGGTGGGAGGCATTTTTGCAAGCCCAGCAGAATCAGTGCTGCTGTGGCAGTGCAAAACCAGCAAGACTAATATCAAACCAGAGAATCTCCACAGTTGAAACTGAAGATGAGGGGGCATTTTTGCAAGCCCAGCAGAACCAGTGCAATGTACTAGTGTGTCATGGGTGTGGGTAAGGGAGAGCTGACGGACCTGCCAGACAGCTGGCCCCTCTGAAGCAGCAGAGGAGGACAGTTGGCAGCTGCTGCCTGCATCAGCATTCCTCACACCTGGCCCAGATGAGGGGGAGAAATTGCAAGCTGAAAACCCCCCTGACTTGCCCCCACGTGTGACTAAGTCTGTGTCAAGACTTAGCAACCAGGCAGCAGGAGGCCAGGCTACAGGGAAGACGCTTGTTTAGCCCTGTAGCTAAACAAACCTATATATAACCCTTTGAGACTGAGGTCTGTGCCCTGCAAAGAATGAATATTGTAAGGGAGCTTTTAGTAACCACCAGGGGTCTTTTGGGGCTGGAGCGTGCCGGAGCGCCACTCTGGGAGCCCAGAAGCTGGCACGAATGGTGGTGGCAGCAAGCCCCGCCCCCAGCCCCTTTGTGTGCATAAAGTTCATTCAAAGGTGAAGTCTGGGGAAATAGCAAAAGAGGATACATCAATCATTTTTAATGAGCAGAGCACCTGCATTGTAAAGTTGGGACACAGCCAAATAACATCCTATTTGTCAAATATGTGATTGATGACTGACCAGGGAAAGAAATCTGAACTGAGCATGTCTAAATGATGTCAACAATGATGTAAATTTGGGAGGAGCAAAAGAGTATATAAGTCTGCTCCCTGTATTTGCTCACTGAATATCCATGCTGAATTTCTTTGCTATAAGATGTTCCTTATTCGAGTAAATCTTTTTTTTACCCTTTATTGCCTGGAATAGTTTATTTCACTGTGTGGCTTATTGGCTAGCCACATACGTCAAAGAACCTTAGTGCCCTCAGGGTGTTGGCATCACTAACAAGGTATGCATTGTAGCTGGGCATTAATGAACATGGTTTTACATAGTTTACAAGCATCATAGGGTGGTATCTACCACTCTTTTAATTCTTCCTTTTATCTCCCTTCTGAATAGTCCTCTCATTTTTGTAAGACTGAAATCAAATGTGATTGTTTTGAGCTATTGGGGCAACTTTCCATTGACGTGAATGCTGAGCTTAATGGCATTGTGGTTACTATTTCCAACTGGGGCAACAACATCTACATTTCACACCAAGTCTGGTGCTCCTCTCAGAACTAAATGAAGGCTCACTGCCCCTCTAGTTGGCTCTCTGGTCCACTGTTTCAATACACAGTCATTTATAACATCCAGGAATCTTATTTCTATGGCACAACTTGAGTACACATTTGCCCAGTCAATGTGGGTAGCTGTTTTGCACCAATTATAGTTTGAGTTTAATGTTAATTCATATCATGATATATATTTATAGTTGAGAGTATTTTGATAAATGGCACATGTGATATACAATTGTGATATACAAATATATATATGTGATATATAAAAATATTGAATGTTTAATTTATGTTGATTTGTATACTATTTTGCATGGTTTGTTGTTTTGCACAGTGTCTTGAGAACAAGCAGACAGAAAGGAGTAATTGTCACTTTTCTGCTTGCAAAAGAACTGTTGTGCATGCAGAAATTTTCATTGGCATCCAACCCAGAGTCTTGAAACTCCTTACAAATCAGACTACAATCCTATGCTAGTTTCAGCTGTTATCAGGCTGTTAACAATGTAGTCCTGAACATATTTATACAAGAGACCTATGGATTTCAGTGAGATTTCACTTTGTAGTAATAATTCCAAGAGGATACAGTGAAAATAAACTGGAGTCCTGGAGCAATTTAAAGACTAACAAAATTTTATTCCAGCATAAATTTACAGTGCCCCAAGATTCCTGTTACCTTTCTTTCAGGAAAATAAAGACTTGCCAGTCCACCAAACATTATAAATATTTGGAGTTTTGCTTAGGGATGCCTGCCAACTCCAGCTTGGGAAATACCTGGGTATTTGGGTGGTGGACTAGTTCCCTCTAAACTGAGATAGTGTGAGCTAGCTCACAGTTTGTTAGCCTCCAGCTCACACATTTTTGCCTTGGCTCAGGAAGGATGGCTCCAGAGCAAACTAATGTATGCAGTAGCCAAATCGCTCGCTCACAACTTTAATGCCAGTAGCTCACAATGTAGAAATTTTGCTCACAAGACTGCACAGCTTAGAGGGAACAACAGTGTGGTTTTGGAAGGGGGAGTGACCTCAGCAGGGTTTAATGCCATAGAGTCCCCTCTCCAATGCAGCCATTTTCTCCATAGAAGCTGATCTCTGCGCTCTGGAAATCAGTTGTAATCCCGGGAGGTCTCCAGCCCCCTCCTGGAGGCTTGCAGCCCTGCTGTATAGTTGCCTTTTCATCTGTGGGGAAAAGGCCAAGTTGAAAGAAGCCCAAGGTCATCTAATGAAGCTACCACTTACTTTTACAGAACAGGCATGTTCCGTCAATCATGGTTTTTGTTTTTTAATCGTGTATTCTGGTGGTTACAATCTTTTGGCGCGACAAAGTGACGCTGCAGTTTAGAAATTTCATATGAAAGGTCAAGCGAATATGTGTTGTTGTTTAAAAAAACCATGTACCAAGTTCTGCATTTATGCTCGCTTGCAGTTTATTCATGCTTGGTGTTGTTGCTTTTTCTATGGAGCGTGCAACAACAATAGCGAATAGCAAGCTCAACGGAACGACGTGTGGGCGGGATTTAATGCTTGAGGAGGAAGTACTGGGGGTTCGTGGGAAGTGAAGAAGTGTCGCTTCTGCAAGGATTCCGGTGTTTCTCTTCTCCCCCTTTTTTGTGTCACGAGCCAGGTAAAATTAAAAATCAGCACAACAAGCCGTAGGGCTGCGCTCTGTGAGGTGAAAAGGGGGGAGGGGAGCGTAGTTCCTCCAACATATTTAGTCGGTAGCAAGTCCAGCTCATTATGGGGCTTTCAATCAGCCAGCTTGCAGTTATATACGTTTAGCTATTTGAGAGCAAGTTCCACTGCCTGCTCTTGAGGAAGTGTGGGTATAGCACTGGGTTTATGTGGTTTAGGTCACCCTCCCCACTTACTTGGGTGTAGGTTTTATGGAACGCCGTGTGTATTACTTCCACACAAAAATAAGTTTAAAAGGTCGCGCTGTTCTAGGCTGCTGCGGAGGGAGAGACATTTTTTATTTGCAGGTGTTAGCTTCGACCTGGATAAGGCTTCAGATCTAGGTGCACACAAGAGTAAGTCCTAGTGAACTCTACAAGGTTTACTTTCGAGAAAACCTGTATAGAATCAGACTACACGTGTTCGTGTTCTACTGGAATGTGTGACAAAGCTTCGAATTAGTTGTTTTATGGCTTTCCTGGGGGGGGGGGGGGGTTGTTTTTTTTTCTAATAGAAATGGAGACTTTCCAAAGGCTCTGTAACTATTTTATTTGCAAACAGGATTGATTGTGTGTGTTTGATTTCTGTTAACTGAGTTCTCAGGGTATTTAAAGGTGCCACTAGACTCAAACCTGTTCTGCTGCTTCAGACCAACAGGGCTACCCACCTGAGTCTGTATACATACTAGTGTGTAATGGTACTGTAAAAACTAGCATTCATTGCAGCATATGGTTTTTGTGTGTTGATTAGAGTTCATTTCACCAGATGCTAAGTGTATATACAGTGAAACAGGGAAGAATGGTAAACAGAGGAGTCAAAGGGCAATGAAATGCAAAAAGTATTGCCTGGTGGTTCCCTGAAAGGCTTAATGTTACATAACGGATGTAGTCATTCACAATAGCAGTGCTAGGTGATAACACAATTTTACTATATTTGTTAAGCTAATTTAGCAGCTACGTTACAATGAAGTACGATTGTGCTGATTGAATTTTAATGACATTGTCGCAGGCTTCCTGAAATTTTTTAATTTGGCCGCTTCTCATTGGAATCTTCCTTTGAAGTTCTCTTGTGGAAGCATGGTGTCTTTCAGGTCAGTGGCAGAGTAGCCAAGCTAATAAAAACATCCTCCCACTGTTTTCTGAATCTTGCCAATTTTTATATCACTAACTTGTTCATCTTGTGTAGATAACACAATGTTGTTTGCATATATCTTGTTGAAGGGTAAATGGTATGCTGAACCTTTGAAAATAGGGTTGCTGTTAGACCTTGTAAAAGTGATGCTTGAGTGGATATGGGGTGTCATTTGGCTTTATTGCAGGGTCTGGTCCTTTTTAGTGTCTCTGTTAGGTAGCTCATTGTTACTGGTGAGTAGCTGTCAGGTTAGGAGGTTGCATACAGGCAGGGAATGGCCTAATGACTGATGTGGTATATTAGCTACAGTGGTGGGCTTGGATTGGAGAGATTTGGGTTCAAGTTCCTGTTTGACCATAAAGATCACTAGGTGATCTTAGGCAGGTAACTGCTTCTCAGCCCAATCCTAGCAGCATTATTGTGATGGTAAATGTTCTTATTGCTTTGGAGGAAGGGTGGGATGCAAATATGATCACTATTAGTTCTTTAATCAGCTACCCATCTTGCTGGGGGGACTGAAAAAGACCAGAACTTGCATATTCAAGATCACTTTTCAACATACCATATCTACCTGATTGTTAAGTATTTGCTAGAGTTAGAGCTATTAATTTTAGTGGAGTTTATTTCTACACAGTTGAAAAAGCTACTTTACCATTATAATGCAAATCTCCTGATGAGCTTTTCCTTTGGAGATAGCCATTGTAGAACTTGAGGAACAGCATAGTCAAAAACACTGTAATTAGTATGTAGTCAAGTTCATAGTTGAAGAAACTGAGACAGGAAATTGCTCAAATAGCACAGGAAATGACTGGCAAAGAAAGCAGAGATCTGGTTTCTTCCTTGTGGATGTGCAGTTATTCTCTTTTGACATTGATCAGAGCCAAGTTGGTTGTGTGAAGGCAACTTGGTCCAAAGCTGGAAGTGAGGAAACAGATTAAATTAAATTATTCTAGTTTAATTTTCAATGAGATGCATTTATGTAGCCTTCTGTGGTCCTTTACTTGTTTTTTAATGCTGTGTAAATTCTCAAGGTATAGGAATAGTTTATTCTGTTCCAGTAGACCCCCCCCCCATTCGTTGGTTAGAGGGAAAGCTGGGAGTGTGTGTGTGTGTGTGGGTTTTTTTTAAGGTCAAATCTTTGGACATTCACTCTCTGGCTTCTGCTTATTCTATACCAAACTGGCATATCTTTTAATGTGCACACACCCCTTCTATTTTTGCAGCAAAATATGAGTTCATTAGCCTTAAGAATTTAAGCTTCGTGTATCAGATGAAGTGAGCTCTCTGACTCATGAACGTTTATGCTGGAATAAATTTTGTTTGTCTCTAAAGTGCCATAAAGTCAGCAGGACAGAACAGCAGCTTTGCATACAATGATACATAACGGGCTTAATCTCATTATGTGCCAATATAAAAAGGCTCCCACAAGGAATGGCCTCTATGTCCCTCCCTGATCTCTGTCCAGCTCTTCCTCCCTGCTTAGTCAAAGAACAGGAACTTGTGTTGCTCAATCAAGCAGAGGGGAAGAGCTGTATGAATATGTGGGGAATGTTCACAGGCTTCCAATTTACTGTAAGAGCCACGTAGGGCAGAGGTGGGGTGGCGCTCTCTTATACCTTCCAGTGATATCCCTCTTCACATCTTTGGTGTAGACTTGGTTTAAAATCAATGCAGTATTGAAGTTGTGAGCATCAACAACTGAAGATGATGGCTGGGGGATGGAATCTGTTTGGGCATTCTCAGAAGCTGAAAGAGAAACAGGACTCTGTTTATAGGGTATTTGTATGGCACTGTAGACATACAGGGTTGGATCCAGTGGTCATTTTCCACAGGCATGAGGCGCATTATTGCTCGTTCCCCAGTACTCACTATCCTGAAGGATCAGCATTTTGGGAACCTAGTCTTGCAGGTGTGGGGTGTCAGGAAAATTTGTTCCATTAGCAGATGGTGCTTTAATCCAACCCAGTAATTTTTTTTTATAGGCGTGAATAACAACCACACTCTGCTGAGTTCATCTTTTTTTAAATTGGTGATGATTTCTGCTGAATGTGCTACTCAATCTATTGTATGAAGTACCAGTGTATTATATAGAGAGATATGTAGAGCTTTAAAGGCTTCTGACAAATCCCCCCCCTTTCAAAGGTGTTATATTCATTAGTCCTGTTATGCCTGAATTTTGTAAAATCTTAAATTAGCCAAGCAAAACTTTATACTGGAGCTGGATTTATTGGCTGTGATCCAGCACAGGGTTAAGCTACTTTCAGCTAACTGAAATCTATGGATTTAAATACACTGAACTCTGGAAGGCATTGGGACCTTCATTGCTGGGGCTCCCAGTTTGAAAAGTTGCGAAGATGTGACTTTCTTCTGTGACTACCTAAAACATGGTGCTTACCAACTAGGAATGTACCCCACTCATTGTGGCTACTGAATCAGAATGCTCTGCAAATGGGGGGATTTATATTGGCCTGATACTTGCATTTATGTACATGATGCTATCCCTTTTGTTACCTCCAAAGTGGCTATTTTATCTTTTTATCAATACATTTATTTATTTATTTAGATTTAGATCCCAGGCTCTGGGCGGGTTACAACAATAAATTACAAGCAATAAGCAATTAAAAGATATTAAACAATAAAAACAGTTAAAACAGTTAAAAGATGGGCATAGCAGCAATTAAATATTCAGCAATCCTAAAACTGGAAACAATTGGGCCATGGCCCAATAATATAAGGAAGAAAGTATCTGCTAATTCTGCAATAATTTTAGCTAAATTGTAATCCCATGCTATTTTATGGATTTTTATTGCATTTATTTCTTACCATTTTAGTTTTAAACTTTTTAATCTTGTTATGTAAAAATGTTTTAACTCTTCTGTTGTGGAGTATAGACGCGCGCGTGCACACACACATATAGTAAATTATGTGCCACCTTTCTAGAGATCTACTCAAATTGAAAATGGTATACTAGAAAACGGTGCACCATTTTTAAGGGTTATCTCAAGTTATCAGTTATCTAGTTGCAGTCTTACTTTAACATGTTTGGGTGTTTTCCTTTGTAGGCAGTGTCAGAATGAAACCTGTGACTCAGTGCTTCTTGATAGTTTGGTGCTTTTGGTTTGCTGTTTGTTACGAGTCAACTCCAAGTAAATTTGTTCATAGGTAAGTGACATGTACAGAATGATATCAAGATTATGGCTCTTAATGTCATAGTATGATAAACTGAACTGAAATTTCTGTGAGGAGAAGTAGTCAAGAATGGGCTAATTTCTGAGCCTCTGTTTCAAGGGATAGGTAGATTTCTTGAGACATAGCACTCCATCTTTTCCACGTTTTCAAGGAAACAGTTAATAGAGTTGTCTTGCTCTCACTACATTGTTGTTTACCTATGTAATTACCTTTTGGCATTGTTAACATGTCATGTCTGATACTTAATTCTTTGTTTTCAAATTTCTGCATTCCTAGTCCTTCACTCATCAGATGTCTAATTCTCTTGAGTGCTCTGATTTACATTGTGTAATCTGCTTTGAGTCTTAGTGAGAAAGGTGGACTGTAAATATCGTAAAAAAATACTTGGATGTAACTTTAGCTATTTATTATTTATTTATTATTTATTTTTGGGATTTATATCCCGCCCCATCCAAAATCAGCTCGGGGTGGCTAACAAGCGGCCGTGCCAGAATTAAAATATGCATACAACAGCATAATAAAAACAGATTACTAACATAAAATTTGGTGCTCTCATAAATTACATACAATTTCATACAATCCAAGATGGACGACATCCCAAACTGGCGTTCAGATTATTCACTGCAGAAGCGCCAGGAAGAGTGTTTCCCCAGCTCTGTTGGGCGACATCTGCCACTACTATGTGGGGCAGATGGTTGTAACATCATTGGTGGTATAATGGCGGCGGCGGCTCCCCCTCAAAGGCCTGGCGGAAGAGCTCCGTCTTGCAGGCCCTGCGGAACTGCACTAAGTCCCGCAGGGCCCGAGTCTCTTCCGGGAGCTCATTCCACCAGGTGGGAGCCGCCACCGAGAACGCCCTGGCCCTAGTTTGGGCCAACTTTGCTTCCCGGGGGCCTGGGATCTCCAGGCGATGGAAATTCCCCGACCTCAGTGCTCTTGGGGGAACGTACGGGGAGAGGCGGTCCCTTAAGTAGGAAGCGAAGGACAGTCAAGATAGTCCATAAAGTCTTGAACTGCATCTATGTGGGGGTTTTACCCTCCATGGCTAGTAGGAAGCCCCTGCAGTACATGGGAGCATCCACATCATGTCATGCCCAATATGGGCACAACTTGCCTGGCTCCTGGTTCTGTCCCCCTTTTAAGATAGCAAAAATAAAAATCTAATTTTCTTTAGCTTAAAGGAGAAACCACAGATGAAGGTTCTGTGTGGACACTTGGCCTGCAGCGCCTGTAGGGAAGGGAAGGGACCTAAGCTTTGTTTTCAAAATGATGTGGGACAGCTTGCTGTTCCACAATCCCCTTACCTTTTAAAGAGCTTTCCCCCTTTCCCCCTTTGCCTGCTGAGCTGCACTGAAGGCTCACACCGTAGCTCAGGAGGAGAATCGAAAGGGGAGGCTCCTGTCCATGGGAGGGGGGTGCCAAAAAAAGAGAAAGCAGTACAAATGGAACTCTAAGCCCACCTGTTTGAAAAAACTTGATTTTAAAAGTATAGCGCCTATGTTAGTATTAACAGTGTGTTATTACTCAATATGCTTTTGATTGTAATTAGACAATATTGTATATGTAAGAGGTCATTATTTTGTTGTTTCAGTAGTCCTCACTTCCATGACTGGAAGAAATTGTACTTTGTTTATCATTGGCCAGTGACCGTGTGTAAGGTAAGGTTCTTCCTTTTAAAGGAACAGATCTGTTCAACTAAATTAGCTCTATTCTGAAGGCTCATGGTGAATAACTGTCTTCAAAATAAATGGCTTCATCATTGATCACCACAAGGAGAGGGGGAAATCCAGTTTTAGATACCTACTACAGGGGTAAAACCCCAAACCATAGGTAGCAATGTTAGGGAAACTCCTGATTGGTCTTGATCATTGCACTTGGGATGGGGTCTGGGGACTACATCTAAAAGATCTTGCTAGGTTTAACAGCTGGTGTAGCCATTAATGCAACTGGCTTACCCTCACAAATAATTGCTCATGTCACTTGTCTTGTTGCATGTGCAGTAGAATCTGGGAAGAGAGTACCAAGGCACAGCACAGGGGTAACTTTTAACCTGGAGTTAATAGCAGAGGTTGTTATTGATGCTTACTGTAGGCACAACACTACAACAACAGTCAGCTGAGTTTCTTCCAAATTTACCGTTATATAATATGTACATTGCCAGTATGATGTAGTAGCTAGAATGTTGGGTATAGTTGTGGAAGACCCAAATTCAGTCTCCATTTGGGTATGCTCACTAAGCAGTTTTAGCATAAATTCATGGTTGCTGCCTGTTTTGGAATTCTAGTGACCAGGGCCCTCCCAGGAACCCACCCAGGGTTCTCTCTGGGATGGATGGAGCTGGCCAAAGAGCAGACTTCATTAGAGAGAGACTGAGAGAGAACAGATGCTGCAAACTTGATCTATTTATTGAACCTTAAAATCATATAAAAATCTTAAAGCAAAGCATACAAAACTACCATCCCCAATATGTAAAATTTGTGTACACTAATAATAAGTAAAGGAATGCATTCCAGCTACCCACCAAGACCCCACCAAATCCATGGGGTGGTTGGTGTGTAGCGACTAATAATGAGAAAACAAGCCATACATATACCTTGCTAGCCACGTATAGTTGTCAAACAGAAATATGATGACAATATGACCCTGCCCCTCAAGGACCCACTGAATTCTGCTCGGAGTCAGCTCATAATCTGTGAGGTCAGAAAACTCCAGACACCCTTCCTGTGTCAAGGTGGAGCCATGGTGCCATATACCCTGATATCCCAATGTTTAGACTTCAGGGCTGGCACCATGCCTCGCAGGATGTAAGCAATGCTTGTAGGGGATAGGCCATAGGCAAGGCAACACTTTTGAAAGGAATGGGTGCCTGGTGAGAGGCATACAGCAAAAGCTAATCATGCTTTTGGGATCGATTCACACTGCTATACAGAAATGGCCCAGTCTCGCTTATAATTCTGCCACATTGGCAAACCTCTTCCTTCCACAGTGGTGGGCTGTGTGTCAGAAACACCCAGAAGCTTCACTGCTTTCTGGGTGTCTCTAAAGTCCAGAGGTTCAAGAGGAGCCCTCATTCATCTTTTGGTGGGCTAAAAAGATTCATGTGCCATTGGCAAATGCATCAGTGGTCTCTGGTTTTAAATGATTTGGAAGTTGACTCGTGATGGGTCTTCTTCTACCAACGTTTTATTTTCCATCAAAGCAAATTTTGGTATTAAAGTGAAGGAAATACAAAAATGGCAAATTGTTGCATGATTCATATTTAGAGTGCTTTGAGGATGAAATGTTAGCATAAAGATAGTTTCAGAGGGTAGCTGTGTTGGCCTGCAGTAGAACAGCTGGATTCCAGTCCAGTAGCACCTGAGCTCCAGATCACCTTATATGCCTCGGCGGGGAGGTGCGGGATGTAAGTTTAACAAACAAATAAATAAATATTTGACAAGGAAGCTTTGATTCTCAAAAGCTCATACCCCTAAAAATCTTTTTGGTCTCTAAGGTGCTACTGGACTGGAATCTAGCTGTACATAAAATAATTACTGTTAGCCGTATGCTTTTTTTTCTGTAAAGAAACCTGTGCAAAATTGTCTGCTGTGGGTCATATTCTTGTCGGGCGATTTAAGATTGTAAAACTATTCCAACTGCAGGCAGGGGCTTGCATGACGGACTGCTTCCTCTATGCAAAATATTCATAAATGTAGAGAGCTAAGACTGGGCGAGTCTCACTGGTCCCTTGTTTTCTTTGGGCATGAGTTATTTTGTTTTTAATAGAGAAACGTTCATTCAGGTGAGCCCTGTCAGCAATCTGATGAAACAGGTTTACCAATTAATTTGCCGTTAGGCCATAACTGTGTAGTTGGCAGTGTATGACACTGAGACAAAGCATGCTGCCAGCAGCCCGGTGTGATTTGTTTGTTCACTGAAAATGATGGCATAATTGACATTAATGGGATTTTCTTAGGACCACTTGAAATGTATAATGTTTCTATATGCAAAAATGTGTGATGTTTCTATGTGGAAAAATTCTTTTTGCTTTTTGATAGAAAAAAGTAGGTGAATCATAACCACAGCTGGCTAATGCATATTTTATATAATATGTATAATACTCCTTTTGTTTAATTAGCCTCCGAGATGGCTTTCTGTAGCTTTTTTTAAAAGAGGCTTCAGATAGAGCATGCATCTTAGTTCATCTTTCAATATTGGAGCAGCTAAGAGATGTTGGTGGCAAGTCTCTTCACAGCTTTCTGATGTTCTTTCTGACTTGATGTGGGCCACAGTGTTCCCTGGTGAAATCGCTCATCTTGGAAGAGTGCTGTCTAGCAGCACCTGTTGTGATTTATACACATATAATCTCTCACACTCTCTCTCTTGCTCTCTCTCTCTCTCTCTCTCTCTCTCTCTCTGTCTCTCTTTTTTAGTAATAAGATTTTTAAATCACATATTTAAT